TTGAAGAACCAACTTTTTGTTTCATTGATTTTTTTTTGTATTATCTTTTTGTCTTCTATGTTCTGGATTTGGGCTTTTATTTTGGTGATCTGAATTCTTCTGCTGAAATTAGGGTTTTGGTGGTCTTGCTTTTCCAGCTTCCTTAGGTGGCTTGTTAGGCTATTGATTTGTGATCCTTCCATTTTCTTCATGTGCATTTGTAGGGATATAAATTCCCCTCTTACTACAGCTTTCCTGGCATCCCAGAGATTTTGAGAAGATGTTTCTCCATTTTCATTTATTTCCAGATACCTTTTAATCCCTGTTTTGATTTCATCATTGACCCAGGAGTTGTTTAGCAACATGCTTTTTAGTGTCATTGTCTTTGTGGGTTTTAGGGGGACCTTGTTGGTGTTGACATTTATTTTTGTTCCACTGTGGTCCGAGAAGGTACATGGTAAATTTCAGTTTTTTAAATTTGCTTATACTTAATTTATGGCCAAGTATGTGGTTGATCTTAGAGTATGTCACATGCGGTGATGAGTAGAATGTATATTCTGTGCTCTTTGGATGGAGTGTTCTGTAGTTATCAATTAAGTCCATTTGTTCAAGAGTCACATTGAGGTTTCAGATCTCGTTGCTGATTTTTTGTCTTGATGATCTGTTTAGGGTTGTGAGTGGGGTGTTGAAGTCCCCAGCTATGATGGTGTTGGAGTTGATATCTTTTTTAGTTTACCTAGAAGCTGCTTTATGAAAGTTTGTGCTCCTATGTTAGATGCATATATGTTTAAGATGGCTATTTCTTGTTGATGAATTGAAGCTTTTATCATTATGTATTGGCCTTCTGTATCTTTTTAAATTTTTAATAGCTTGACGGGTATTTTTTCTGAAATTAAGATTGCGACTCCTCCTTTCTTTTGTGTTCCGTTTGCCTGAAAGTTTGTTTCCTATCCTCTTACTTTGAGTCTGTGAGTGCCCTTTCTAGTGAGGTGAGTCTCTTGAAGGCAATAGATTGTTTTCTGGTGATATTTTATCCATTTTGCCACTCTATGTCTTTTCAGTGGTGCATTTAGTCCATTCACATTTAGGTTAACTATTGAAATGCAAGTGTTGATCCCTGTCATAAGGTTCTTACAGAGTTGTTGTTCCTGTTTATTTGTTGTCTTTCTTTTGGTTTTGGAGTTGGTTCATGTGTGTTTTTAGTCTTTTGCCTGTACTCTTGTGAAGAAGGTTGTTGTTCTTTTTTCCTTTCCTGTGTTCAGTACTTTCTTAAGTGTTTCTTGTAGAGGTGGTCTGGTGGCAGCGTAGGTTCTTAGGGATTGCATATCTGGAAAAGATTTCAATTCTCCCTCACTAATGAAGCTTAGCTTGACTGGGTAGGTTATTCTCAGTTGAAATTGTTTATCTTTTAGAACTTTGAAGATAGGGTTCTAGGCTCTCCTAGCCTGGAGGGTTTCTATAGATAAGTCTGCTGTTATTCTAATTGGTCTTCCCTGGTAGGTAGTCTGGCCTTTTTCTCTTGCTGCCTTCAGGATTTTTTCTTTTATAGCTATTTTGTTTAGGTGAATTATTATGTGTCTGGGAGTTGGTCTTCTCATTTGTTGTCTTGCAGGGGTTTTCTGAATCTCTTGTTCTTGAATTTTTGCATCACTGATGAGATGAGGGAAGTTTTCTTGAATGAGTTCATGAAATGTTTTTTCCAGTGTGACCTCTGACTCTGTCTGCCTCAAGAAGGCCAATTACTCTTAGATTGGGTCTCTTGACATAATCATTCATCTCCTGAAGGTTTTGTTCTGACATTTTAAGTTTCTTTTCTATGTTTTTGACAGTTTGGGTAGTTTTGTATTTTGGTCTTCAAGTTCTGAGATCCTTTCTTCTGGTTGGCTAATTCTGCTTTCCATGCTAATTAGTTTGGTATTTATTTCCATCACAGTATTCTTTACTGCTGTTATTTCTGTCATCAGTTCCTTCCTATTTTCCTCTTGTCTTTCTCAATTTTTAAAATTCTCTCTATTAATGCCTTGATGTCTGGGTTTGTTGCTTGTGAACAGTCATTCTGGGGGCTCTTCATTGTGTGTGTTCCGAAGTCTGTTTTCTCAGTGTCTGACCTCCCAGGGTCTGTGTGAGCCCTGTATTCTTCTTTTGATTTTTCTTCATTTGTGCAGATTTTTCCTCCCTACTTTTCCCTTCCCACCACTTCCCCATCTTCTTTAATTCTGTTATTCAGGGGTGGAGTGGTTTCTTTTATTTCTGTTAGTTCAATCTCCTATTCTTCCTAATGTATTTCCTCTTGCTTTGTTCAGTTTTGGTGTTGAATTGTGGGTTAAGGGCAGTACTTTTTGTAGTTTTGGGATTTAATTAAGGGGGGAGCTGGGATTCAAAATCTCTCTGCAGATCTCGGTATTTGCCAACAGCTGTATGGATAGTCTGAAACCCACTTCCCACTGCCTTGGAGTCTGCCCATGCACTGGGGTTATAGGTTTACTCCCTGAAAGCAAAATGAGGTTAACAGAGAGAAGTGAATGGAGCAGGCAGTGTGGGGAGGGGGGTGGAGAGAGAGAGGAGTGAGAGGGAAAACTGTTGAGTGTACTGACTGGTAAATGAAAAGAGACACAAATACTGAAACAAATATAAAGAAAAACAATAACCATGATGGAAAACTAACCAACAACCACATAAAAAGCTAAAACATACAAAGATGCTACTGTACACACAGACCAACCTCCTTATGGTGTGCTATTCCTTTATACAAAGATGGGGTTTACAAAGAAATAAGAAAAAAGGAAAAAGAAAAAATAAAAAAAGGGGGGAAGGGATAGATTTAAGTCAGTAGACTGACAGAACCAACCAAGCACACTCTGAGACTTTTCCTTTAAGTCCAATGTCCTTTCAGCTCTGATTTCTAGGTGTCTTTGCAGGCTGGTAGAATTGTTCACAGTTAGGGTCAGTTGCCCCTGGCCTGCTGTGAAGAACAGTTCAGATATGGGCCCCCTGCCCAGTCTATTACTGAGATCTTGCTTTTTCTATTTATCAAGAGAGATGAGCCTCTGCTATTCCCGTTTTGATGTTGTTACATGGGCTCCCCAGCAGGTGGTGCTATCTCATGGCTACAGTTTAGGGGGTAGTGAGCTGGTTAGTGATCCATGACCTGCCGCAACAACTTCACGGGGGAAGTTCCACAGGCCTTTAGCCGGCTTAGGGGCATAGTGTGGCAGTGGCAGCAGCAACCAGGCAGTGGCGATCTCAGAAGATCCTGCTTGCGGGGCTTCACGGTCTGAAGTCGTGGGTCCCTTCAGGCATGAGCTGGGAATGACCGCAGGGGCGGCATCTGCGACTGCAGGAGCAGCCTGGACTGCTGTGATATCTGAGTAGCGATGGCGGGTGACTGTGGCGGCTGAGCTCCCTGCAGGCTGCAGAAGAGCAGGCTGCAGAAGATAGGAGCTGCAGCCCTTGGGAGAGAGCTAGGGTCTTTATGAGTGTTCTCTTTTGCAGAGAGTCTCACAGACCATGCCGCCCCATCGCCATCTTGCTGGAAGTCCCTGGTCTACACTTTAAGTGACTTCTCTCTCCGTTAAAAATGTCAAGTAAAGACTACAGCCCCAAAATGCCCTGGGATCATTTTAAACATATAATATATCTACTATATCTCAGACATATTGACTCAGAAGCATTGAGAATGAGAACTTGAAATTGCATTTATAAAACTGCCAAGGTGATTCTTACAGACAAAACCTGTGAAAATTACTAATATAGGAGGTTTAAGTCTAAAATAGTATTCTGGCAAACAGGTGCTTTTATACTTTCACCCTTCAGCCTCTCCAAACTTATGGCTGCCTCTACCTTAATCAGAACATCAAGTATTACTTACACCACATTCTTAAATTGTTCAAAAGTATGTTTTAATAGTATATATTTACTGAGCAATGAGGTATGGGTTAAATGGAGAAACTGAAGCACAAAATTTTGCTTAAACTGTGCAATGTTTCAGAGACTGTGTGGCAAAGCTTTTACTGAGCCTAACTGAATATCTGAAAGCCATTTCTAACAATGAGATGTATTAATTCTCCAAATGCATGTGGTTATCTAGCATATCTGTGTTATTTGCATATATTTGAATATCAGTTGCCTTTCCTTGTACATATTTTTAGACTCAATATAATTATTACTTTCTTCTGGAAGACCTCCCTTATATGCAAAATTCCACAGAAGCCATTCTATCTGCCCATAATATTTTTGTAGACCTTTATTACAATGCTAATCATACACCATATAGCAATGCAGTCATGTATTGCATAATGACATTTTGGTCTATGATGGACTGTGTATACAATGGTGGTCCCATAAGATTATAATACCATGTTTTTACTCTACCTTTTCTATGTTTATATATGCAAATACCACTGTGTTACAATTGCCTATAGTATTCAGTACAGTAACATGCTGTACAGGTTTGTAGCCTAAGAGCAACAAGCTATACTATATAACAAAAGTGTATAGTAGGTAATATGTGTAGGTTTGTGTAAGTACACTCTATGATGTTTGCATAACTACAAAATTTCCTAATGACATATTTCTCAAAATTATCCCCATCAAGTGGCGCAAAATTGTATTTGATTTATGTGTTTGTGTTCTTTAATCTATTAAAGCTTCCTAAAGGCAAGGCTTGAGCCCCTCACAATGTCTGGAATAAGATAGATATATAATAATTATATAAGGAGTTAATTAGTACATTACATAAAGCAAGTTTTATTTATTCAAGGTATAGTTTATCCAAAGTTATGGTTTCTAGAAACTGATATGCTATAAAGAGTTTAACACTTAGATTTTAAAGGAAGGTATTGTAGTAGAGTGAAATGTTTCATAAAAAAGAGTAGAATGTAAGGGGAAGGTTAATCATACACTAATTCTTGAGGAGAATCTCCTATGTGAGACAACTGACAAGGTAAAAAGTCATGATCAAAACAAATGTATAAAACATGTTCTCCAGTTTTTATGGAAAGGATGTAATTTGTGTCATATTCTTATAATGGTCTTTTTGAAAAACACAAATTCTTTTGCACTACATCCCAGAAGGCATCTTTCACCTGCTGGTTCCTTAGAGTGTAAATGAAGGGATTTAGTAAAGGGACAATTGAGGTATAAAGTAAAGCTATGTCTTTGGATACAGTCACTCTTTCTTTTGCAGATGGTTTAATATACATGAAGATACAGCTACCATAAGTCATGGAGACAACAATCAAATGGGAAGCACAGGTGGAAAATGCTTTGGTTCTTTGCTGTACAGACGGGAATTTCAAAATGGTCTTAATAATGCAAGTGTAGGAGAGAATCACTAACACCAGTGTGATCACAAGTGTCACCACAGCTAAGATGAAAGACATCAGTTCTAGGATACGTGTATCTGTGCAGGAGATCTGCAGGATAGGAGAAGTTTCACACATAAAGTGATCAATTATTTTGGAAGCACAGAAATCCAACTTGAGTCCCATGACCAATGGGGGGAAGATGATGAGGAATCCAGTTACCCAAGAGCTGAGTACAAGTTGGTAGCACACTTTGCTGCTCATGATGATGGGGTAATGTCGTGGTTTGCAGATAGCAACATAGCGGTCAAAGGACATGGCCGCCAGAAGGTAAAACTCAGTGACTCCCAATAAAAGGATAAAAAATAATTGAGCTGCACAGTTATTATAAGAAATGGTTTTGTCTCTAGTCACAATGGTTATTAAGAATCTGGGAATACACACTGTTGTGAATATGATTTCCAAAAAGGAGAAATTACGAAGAAAGAAATACATTGGAGTCTTGAGGCGGGGATCCAGCAGGGTAAGAAGGATGATGATTATGTTCCCCATCAAACTCAATGTGTAGTTAAGAAACAGAAACAGGAAAATCACAGTTTGCAATTGTGGATCATCTGTCAATCCTAAGAGAATAAATTTTATTTCCATTGATTGGTTCCTCATTGCTTTTGTGGTGAGCCTAGAAAATGTACATAGGAATAGAAAAAACAATGTTAATATGCATATATATTTCTAAAACTGAAACATATCTATGTGCTAATGATTTCTTTGGCTTGAAATTGCATATGACAAATAATTACATGCCATAAGTTAATTCAAAATTTCTTCTAATCCATTAGTTCTCTTTATAACTTTCCTCACAGAATTTCCCCCTAGGACTGGAATAATTTTTTTGTTAATATGCATTTTGTTTGTCATGCCCAGATGAATTCTGCTCTGCATGTATAATGTCAGTAAAATTATATTAATTATTTAAAATTTTTCTTTCTATTATTTTTATCATACCTGTGCAAATTGCACTAAGTTGGTTAGTCTTTTCAGAATGAGTATGAGGATGGTGTTTCAAAACCAGAATGTAGGGCTATTTTATAAATCCTGTGCTTGTATATGACTAAGGCAATATTTATTTTCAGTTAAGTAGTTGAAGATTCTAGGGTCAGTAGTTTTGAAATTTTTTTCTATACCGAAAGTATGCCATTATTATTATTTATTTTCTTGATTGGTTTTTCTGTATTCAAGTGAACAGTCATTTACTAGCATATAGGACAAATAAAACAAAGCAAAACATGACAAAAATAAGCAAGATTTATATTTTAATTAAAAATATCAATTCTTTTTTTCAATTTAACATTTTTGAAATATCTCCTTTTATTTGGCTACAAAATTTTGCCTCTGCTTTTTACTTCATTCATATTCTTTGTAAAACCATTCAGTCTCCCAGGTTCATTCTTCCTATACTTACTATATAAAAATTCTACTTAGTCCCAGGGTGTTATTGTTTTTTATGAGCTCTTGAATGATTGCTCATTTAGGGAGGAAGCCTGTGAGTGGAGGTAATCCTCCTAGGGATAGCAGAATTAGGGGTATCATGGACGATGCTAATGGAATTTTATTTCATGAGTTGGACATTGTTAGGACGGTAGTGCTTGAAAATAGGATTAATATGGAAAACAGTGTAATTGTTAGGGTGATGTAGATGAGGAGATTAAGGATTATTATAGTAGAATTATATTTTAGAATTGCGATTATTCATCCTGTGTGGGCAATGGAAGAGTAAGCTAGGATTTTTCGAAGTTGTGTTTGGTTTAGTCCCCCTCAGCCGCCTAATGCGATAGAGGTTAGGGCAATTAAAATGATTAATGTTAGGTTTAGGGTTATGTTAATTTGATATAAGATTGAGATAGGAGCTAATTTTTGTCATATGAGGAGTAATATTCCAGATGTTAGTGATACTCCTTGTGTAACTTCAGGAACTCAGAAATGGAAGGGTGAGAGACCTAGTTTTATTATTAGGGCAATTAAGATTATAATTGAGGATGCTTGATTAAATTTGTTTATAACAGTCCATTGTCCGGAGTAACTTGTATTTGTAATTACGGCTATTATCAGAAGTATAGAAGCTGTAGTTTGAATTAGAAAATATTTAGTGGCTGCTTCGGTTGAACGGGGATTGGCTTTTTCAATTAGGATAGGTGTAATAGCTAATATACTTATCTCTAGTCCGATTCAAATTAGTAGTCAGTGTGAGCTGAATATGGTGATTATAGTACCTGAAAATAGAGTAAGGAAAATGGAGGATATAATGAGGGG